GTTACGATTAAAGCTTCAGACCAACAACTATGGAGATAATGAGCTAATATAATATAATAATCTAACAGATCTGTCTGCCTGAGCAGAGATCAGCTGAACACAAACCAATTTGAAGTGGATTTTGTGTTTCCTGGTTTGGATTCAATGATTAGAAATGTGGAGATTGTTTCACCAGTAACTGGAAACTTGGGTCACATCACATAAACTGAAAATGTATTAATATGTGTATAACAATTATTCATAATAAAGTTTGAATTACAAGAGATTCCCGGGATAAATTGTGGAAAAAAAATGAAGTAACCTGGTAAAAGCAGGAGTGTTTGCAGGTGTGGAATGTGAGAAGACAATAAACCAAAGAGGACAAACCTTCCTTTCTCCATCATTACCTGCTGTAAGGCACCAGTGAAGCAGTTTTTGGCACCGATCAGGTCTCCTTTTTTCCAGTACTGCTCCCCTAACGTGTTCCAGCCCTCCACCAGGCCAGGCTCCAGCTTCACCGCGCGGGACAGACACTCCTCTGCTGCAGCACTGAAGTCTGGAGCCACGTTCAGACATCGTCCCTTTTGCAGCAAGAACTCGGCTTTGTGTTTAAAGGCTTCTGTTGGAAGTTGTAAACGGAGCAGTTGTGAATGAAAGCCTGCAAATTAACTCACTTTTTTTTTTTATTAATGTAAAGAGACCCTTACCTTCTTTTTCCTCCAGCTTCTTCAGCGCCCGTGCCATCTCTTCTGCTACGTCGCTGTGTTTCCGTCCTGCATCCTCCACACTGTGAGTCTCAAAATAACAATCTCTGAACTTATACAGCACATCCACCAGCTCCTGTCGGGAGAGAAGACAAGAAACAGACATAAAATTAGATCAAAAAGACATTTCTCTCAACCACATCTGCCTGTAGTACAACACTGAGACACAACAACACATCAACAAATACTGCTGAGGAGTGAAACTACCTGAGTAACTAATAATTTAACTAGTACTAACAGTTTATACTAAACTTGGGAAGGTTCTGTGCAAAAGTCTGTAGCCACTGCAGATTTCTTTACACCATGTTGGAAAACAGGTGTACAGAGATTTATTAAAATTAATAAACATATATGGAAATAGAGTATACAAAGGCAATAGTTCTTGTGGCTTCTTTAATGACATTCAAAGCTCTTCTTTGGATGCTGGCTGCCTTTTGTTCTGTTCTCTGTGAAGATGATCCTAAACCCCTGAAAATGGAGCCACTGCCCATCAGACTTTTTCCACATGGATCAAAATATGACGGTATTATCTGTGTTCAGAATTTCACTAATTTTGATAAGATCTTCAACATCACTGGCTCTCATCAGTACATACTAACAAAGATTTGGACCAAAAAGCACTGTCATATGTAAAATGTGGGTTCATCACTTCATCAGACCTGTTGCCACTTGTTCAGTTTCCTTATTTTTCTTAAGGACACACTGCACACCATGCATGAGATATAGCATAGTTTTACGCTAATATCTCTTTGGGAATCGCCCATTTGTGCAAAAATTATGCATTTTTGTGACAAGCTGCTGGTAAAAAAGTCCCTAAAGATACAATTAAAAATCGGTTCTTTGCCAACATGTTTGTTATGTGTAGACATGACAGCATTTTCAGGCTTGGATGATTCACATTTCCCTTTGGAGTCATTTAAGCAAACAAACAACAGCATTCCTATGAAAATGGTCAGGT